GGCTGGCGGAACCGGGCACTGGCTCCTCACTCCGCTTCAGCGCCGTGCTCGCGCTGCCACGGAGCCCACCAAGGGACAGCCCACGGCAGTTTAGCGCAGATTGGTCTTTGAGCCTTCAGAGAGGCTTCACAGAGCTGACTGTGATGCCAGGCTGCTCCACAGCCTCTTGCAAAGGCTACATTAAACAGGAATTTTCCTCCTGGATTGAGCAGGTGAATGGATGGGATGCGTGAACTGAATGCAAAGGTGCTGGCTTTAAAAGCCGCATGGTAGTGTGACATGCTTTGAGGGTGGTTGATATTCTTTTGTGCCCAAAGTTAACCATGGGATTAGGCGTTTCAGCTCAGTAGCATGGAAGAAGGGTGCCTGTCAGTCAAGAACTGCAATCAGTTCAACCCAGCAGACAGCTTGCGCCAAGTTTTAACGTTGTTCTTGCAGTTCATACAGATGTTTAAGATATGCATATCATATCTAGTTTGTTCTTCCTTGCTGCAAAGCCTGGCCTCAATGATGACTTGGGCAGCAAGGTTTGAAGATCAGCTATGGAGAGCATGTCCTTCCTTGGTTTAAACTTGGTATTTCAAAGTTCAGCCATCCAACTGTTGGAACTTAGGTATAATACAGAGGCAATAAATAAGAGGAAGCTGAATTTATAAGATATGAGTTACCTGAAGTGTAGAAACTAGTGAATTAATGTATTGCTTGTCTTTGGGCCAGCAGGATGTGTGGGGTGATTAGGCCAGAAGTAACCTCTGGATTTGGCTTCAGTGGCAGCACTGAAGCCACAGGACCTGGCAGCACAGCTCTTTACAAAACCTTTTCAACATCTCGGAGCCTGATAAAGAGGTGGACCTGTTATTGTTAGCTTGGACACAGAATTAAATGTTCTCAGCTTCCAGATAGTTTTCCAAAGCTTTTCATGGCAAATCTCATTTGATTTGGCCATGTTTTGTTTTTGTGGGTTTTTCTGTTTTTAATTATATTTTTTTAGGGTGAACCATTTGAGAGATGGTCTTGTAGAGAAAGAACTTCGGTTGCATAGTGTGGGTTGCACAGGCCCATCAAGAACAGGAGGTTGGTGTGAGGTAGAAAGTGCTGCTTTTGCCTGACTGGGGGCCAAGGATAGGCCGAATCGATTTTCTTAGCATGTGGTCAGTTCTGAAAGACCATTTTAAGGGAGTAAAGGCAAGAATCTGTGAGCTCTGCATAATTTCCTTTTGGTATAGAGTGGTGGACTGAAGGATTAGCCACCTGATGCAAGAATTTGCAGCTTGTGAGCTCAGCAAGGTGTGGGTGAATTTCCCAGTGACACTTCTGTGCTCTGATGTAACTTCTCTGTTTTTTGACTTGAGCAAAAGATGTTTTCCAGAGCAGGCAGCGCAAATATATACAGAGGGGTCCTGGTTTCCTCCACAGCTGGGAGAAAGTTATGTTTGGAGCCTATTTTCCTAGAAAAAACCTCACTGATATGATATGATATGATATAATACGGTATAATATGTTTCAATATTCTAGAACATGTTTCAACTCAAGGATGGATTTACTCTTTCATTACCGTTTTTGTAAAGCTACGGTTCTGTGAAGCACATGCGTTTCCTCAAGTGATTGTGAAAAGTGTATTGGGCTGCAGCTTTGGTTTTATCCAGATGAACTTGTAGGTGGATGTAGTGCTGCTCAAACACAAAACTCAAAACAGAGTTTTTATGGATGACTCTTCGCAAACCAACCTCCAGTGCTTTTGGCAGCACTTCGGATGTGTTCCCAGAAGACCAGTGAATCTTGTCTGTTCGCAGTATTCTTCCCTTTCTCCCTTGGCTCTTTAACACTGCTGTCATCCTGTCTTGTGTGCTAATCTTACGTTTTTGTTGCAGAAGTGTCTCATCAGCGGCATGTGGCTGATATCCAGAAGATACCCAGTTCCCGCAGCCCACAGGGGTACAGTGTATGGGATGAGCAGGCCTGTTCTGGAGATCCATCAGGTTGGTTAATGGCTGAATTGTTTATTTCAGGCTGAAAGTGGTTTCCTGTTAGAGTACTGATCTGCTAGGTGTTGACTTGTTTCTGAGAAGCATCAAGTTTTGGTTGAAAGTTCCCACTTTTTAAGGTATATGTGATGAACTCAACGAATTTTGTAGTAGCTGAGTCCAAGTGATTGAGTTCAGAAGTGGTGCTCTGGTAACTTCTACCAAATTGTCTAAGCCTGAACTAACCTCTGGAATTAAAGTTCCTCTGGAGAAGCATCTTTTTAAATGGTTTTATAGATGTTACTTCACAGGACATTAGAAATATGTTGGGAATTGGGCTGTTTTCAGGGTAAGCTGCTGCTTTTTCAAGGTAGCTGTATGTTTTCCACACTGTTTAATGTTAGAAATGACGCAGTGCTTGGTTTAAGTAAATCTGCCTGCTGGCTTTGATACTTAAATTAATGTCTCTCAATGTGTAATGATTTTCTTCAGTCTAGATGCTACTCTTCTGGAGGAAGAAAGGGTTTTATATCAGGTTTTGTGGAGAACATCAAGCAGGAATTAGCAAAAAACAAGGAGATGAAAGAAAGCATTAAAAAATTCCGAGATGAAGCCAAAAAGCTAGAAGAATCTGATGCGCTTCGAGAAGCCAGGAGGAAATATGTAAGTCTTCCTCATGAAGTTCTTTGATGTTTTCATTGCCCAGTCACTGAGCTATTCCTGTTCTGAATGTAAACTTGAATCTTTCTGCAAATGAACTGTTTAGTTCAGCATGCCTGTTTTTATGAGAAGTTCTGCTTGGCTGGAAATAGTGACTGGTAAATGGATGCCTTAGAGCATTTTGGTTTGTTTTTAGTGGAAAATCTTTCCAGCAGACCCTTCACTGAATTTCCCAGATAAAACAATGAGACATTAAATTTAACGTTGGCAGTATTTAAATACTCCTTTTGCATTCTTTGAGGAACGGTAAACTTGCAAGAATGAAATGCTGTCGCTGGTTACTCAAGTAGCATGTTCCCTAATATAGAGTGGGTTTTGCCCTCAGTTACGGCGTTAATGGGGTGTGCTATATGCTAAACTGTTTCTGAGCATTTTCTGTCCTCGTAGTTACATGCAGCATGTTTTTTTTCCACAGAAAACTATTGAATCTGAAACAGTGAAGACCTCAGAAGTGATAAAGAAGAAACTCGAAGAAATAACTGGTACAGTTAAAGAGGTAAAACGCAGCTCGGGAAAAAGATCTGCATAGACAGTTCTCTTTAGCCAGTTCTCCTCTAAGGTTAAGTCGTCTGTGTGCATTTGAATTGTCACTGTATTTTTTGTTGGTGAAAGGTGGTTGCTATTCCAAAGGTGATCATTATGAATCTTTAAGGCCAGAGTCATTAACAAAATTGCAGCAGTGGTGTATGATAGATTCCTTATTCAGTTAGTGTACAGCCAGAGGACAGGCACTGTCCAGTGATTCCTCTCAGATTTGGAGGCTGGAAATGATCCTTATAGTTCTGTCATGTCCAGCACTAAAGCAAGCAGAAAAGCATTGAGGTGGTTTCTCCACTGGAGGGCAGTTAGAGCAGTGCTGGAAGATCGCCCTGGAAAGGAGTTCAGGAGATGGGATGCTCTTCACGCAACCACTTTTTGCTGCTGATGTGATTGGGCTTCTGGCTTCTCACTGCATGTGGCAAAAGATTTGCAACAGCAGAGGCTCCAGGTGTTGTAAGTAGAGGTACTGGTGGTGTAGTTGGTGAGGTGCCCTCCTCTAAGTTAGCTTGCTGTAAGTGATCTCATGGCTCTGTGTGTCTTGGGAATAACAAAGTGCTTGGAGGAGCAGGCATCGTTCATGCCTGGCAGGTATGAATATCCTCCATTGTAGGCTCAGATCGCTGTCTATGCAGATCTGCTTTTAAGCAATTGAATTAAAGTTATTTTTTAGAGTGGGACTAAGCACTGCAGCTCATGCTTATTTACTTCGTTCCTTGTCTGAGTTCATGCAGGCAGGAGATGCATTTGAGTGGTTAGTATGCTTTGACTTTTATTTCTGAGGAGTCTTCCTAATAGGATTTTAAATATGGAAGAAATTAGGTTCATGTGATGCCTGTAGAAGCTGATCAGCAGTGCTACAGTGTCTGTGAATTCAGCCAATGCAAAACTGGGCTGTTTGGGCAGTCCTCAGTGGGGTGCAAGATCTTTTATTCCTTATTCCCTCTTTTCTGTCCCCTTTTCAGCATGGGCACCATCCTGAAGTCAATGAGTCCACATCCATTCATCATCTCCTCCGTTGTTTGCAGAGGAGGTGGGAAGGACTCACAGGACAGGGCTTGTGTTTTGGTAATCCATGCATACTCAGACTTCACCAGCTGCCTCCAAGGCTGCAATGAGGAGGAGAGAGCAGATCTACGAGAGGACACTGCCAATCCTACTCACTTCTTTGTGGCAGAAGTACCTGCTCATCAGCTGTCTCTGATGATTTATTGTTAGCTTTCCTGCTGCTGTAGACCTGTCAGTACCTGGGAGGTGACACTGAGCTGGAAGAGTTGGAGAAGGGCTGTTGTTGCAGTGTCTGCCACCCTGACAGTCACTCCCAGGCATCCTGAGTCTTGTTTTTCCCTTCTACTGATTAATTAAATCAGCAGTGACTGAAACTTCCTGCTCTTCCACTTAAAGAGAATACAAGATTTTCTGATTTACTTCAGGAGGCAGTTCCTCCTGTCACCACCTGTCCACCACCTCAAATGAACACCTCCTGTCTACCACCTGTCATTTGAGGTGTATGAATTTCATGCTCATAGCTAGGCTACTCCAGAGCAGGGTGAAGTCAGCTGTTTTCAGCAGTGGTTTAAGACCAAAGCAAGTGTGATTGTTCCCAACGCTTGCAATCAGGCGCAGGATCCCTGCTGGGGAGCAGCCGAACACTGGACTTACACTGTGCAGTGTAAAGTTTCTGTGGACCTGGTCCCCGCTCTCTGCTGTGCCGCTTTGCTCTCATTCTGTCTGAATGTGCTTCAGATGGGACTGTGTGTCCAGTTATGAGCTAGGTGTAATGCTCTTTGCTGATGTGGACAAAACCAGTATCTTTTGAGTACTGTTGAGGGTGCTGTAAGCATCTTTATTAGCCAAATCTCATTGAAAAAGAGGGGAAGCCATTTGGTATTGTTATCTTGTCATTTATTTTCCTCTGAGGCTGTGGCTTGTGACCCATCCAGGATTGGTTGCCTGCTGCCAGTGAGATTTATGAGATCCTTGAGGATCTGACGTGTGCCGGTGCAGAATGAATGGGTGACCAGCTACCAGCAGAGTCCTTTTAGCCTCTTGCATACAGGATCCTGGCTCTGTTGACACAGCCAGAGTGATGCGTATGTAGATGCTGGATTGAGAAAAGTGTTTCCTAGTTTTGCAGGAAGCGTTGCATAGCAGAGAGCTATCTCACCCACCTCTATACCTTCTCTTAAGAAGTACCTGATTGTTTCAAAGGGAAGGGCTGGGGTATTCTAATTCTGGTATCATTTGTCCTTTGATGTCAAGAAAAAAAAATCTCTTTTAAAATCTATTGATAGCAGCTGTTACAAATGTATGTAGTCCCATGAGTAGTCAAAATTGTTCTGCACAGAGGTGTTGGCTAATGCTGCAACTCCAAGCCACGGTGTCTTGGTAAGTCTCCCCTGTGACATGTAACTGTATGTTCACCTTAGGTTTGCTTAGTCTTGTGAGTGCATGAGGAGGTCTTTAGAATTCACAAAGAGGAGTTACTTATGAAATTTTCACCTGTTTCACCTGAAATGATCTTTTCTTTCCTGTTTTGTTTTGTTGCAGAGTTTGGATGAAGTGAGTAAGAGTGATATTGGCCGAAAGATAAAGGAAGGTGTGGAAGAAGCAGCGAAAACAGCAAAGCAGTCTGCGGAGTCAGTGACAAAAGGAGGGGAGAAATTAGGCAAGACAGCAGCCTTCAAAGCTATTTCTCAGGTGTGTAAGCCCCATGCCTCTCGAGTACCCAGCGCTGTGGGCACAGCTCATTAACATGGAAGTTATGTGCGAGTTTGTGCTGAGTGTAAAATTAAATGTGAAACTCTTACAGCAAGACCTTGTGAGCCATTGGAGAAAGCTGATAAATTCAGGACGTGTGTTTTGCAGGTCTAGCATTCACTCAACAACCCTAGGAAAGTGTAAGTCTTGAGTAGTTGAGCTGCTAAAATGTGTTACTGGAAAAATTGGTTGTTGCAAGGTAGGGTAGGAAGTGTCTTCTGTAGAAGGTGGTGATACTCTGGGGAAAAAACTGGCTTGCTTAAAGCTCTCCTAGAAAATACATATTTTGATGTCACCCAGTCAGCTGGCAATGAGCTTAAAAAGAAGCGTTCCTCTTGACTGGTTTCCCATTCCTCCTCTGAAGCCTTGGCTTTAGCCCTTGTATGAGGAGGTGCCAGGCCGAGTATAGGAGAGCTGCAGATTTCATTATACACCATTTTTTTTCTGTTTCTGTAATGAAACCTGTTATCTTACTCCAGCAGCCTCCTAATCTAAGAACTGTTTGTTCCTTCTGTGGAACATGCTGCTAGTCCAGATCTTGTAAGCAGAGAATTATTTTATGGAACCTTAAAAGTAAATTTTTGAGGCTTAAATATTTGTTTTCCTTGTGAACAGATAAACCTTTTGATTAATTGTCAGATTTAACTGATTCACAGAACTTTTATAAGCTGAGAGCAGTTCTCGTAGCTTTGCTGTGCTTTCTAGTATGTGTGTAGAATTTAGAATACTCAGTTTACTGCTTCAGAAAACCAAATATACTACCTTAGAAACTGTAGTAGTTGTCTCATTATGAGATCCCCATTACTTCACTATTTAGGAGAGATTTTGTATAATCTAGACTTAGGTGGTATCCACAGGGGCTCATGTCTTGTTCTCTTCTCTGCCAGGTCCCTCAGATGGTCTTTTATAGTCAGCAGGGACAGACTGAGCTTTGGAGCTTTTTATTGGCTTATCCTTGATGCTTAAAGTTACTTAAACTCCAGTTTCTGCTTCAGATCAGATCTCTGGCATCTGTTCCGTCTAGGCCTGAGCACTGTTGCAACTTTCTTAAAGAAGGAGTTGCACTGAATTTCAGTAGGGGAGGACGACTTATGCTGGCAAAGCTGTTGGGTGCTTTGTGTGTTCTCCAGAAAACTCCTGCATGAAATCAAGTTGAAAAATAACAGCCACCATGAAGCCACACGATGCTTTGGGCTACATAGCTTACATGTCCTCAATAAAAATGCAGATTGGGAAAAAGCTGTATATAGAGTATATATAACATTCTTTGCTGCCTGCATGTGTTTCATAATAGGAAAATTATGTATTGTGCAACAGATCTTTTGTAGGTATTGTCATAGAGAAAGTACTGCTCAAAAGTTAAGTAATAAAAGTAGAGTAGCCACGATGAAGGAGAAACACTAAAAAATGCCTTTTAGTCCCAATCCCTATCGAAGTGTATGACAAAAGTCCCAGCAGTGGTTGTGGTAGGATGCAGCTTCCTCTTGGCAAAATCTGAACGGAGGAT